TTTTCAACTTAATTTTTAGTAAATAAATAGCTTAATTTGTTAGAGTTTGTTTACTAATTTCCTCATTAAATTGAGAGAGTTCAATATAGAAATAAATATATGGCCGGGGACATTATATAATCTTTGATCTTTTAAGACAATATGATAAGAGGTGGGGGTATTCCAATTATCAAGTGCTTTCGAATGATATAAAATTCACTCGGATTGGATCAAGACTAAGCATGTTATGATCGATCGAATTTGACTAACTTTCACCTCTCCTGTTTTTTTTTCTGACAGATTTTTTTTCATATTTTTTTATTCCTGGGATGAAGTTCTGGTTCTGATCTCGGTTATTAAAAAATATTTTTTCATCAGCCCCAGTAATTATAAATACAATTTAAATTTTTAGAAACTCCATTTTTTGCTTAATAATTTATTCAAAATTTTCAAAAAAATAACTCTCATACTGATTTTTGACCTCCAAAAATTTTATTTAATTTATTTATTTGAATTTTCTAATAAATTAAAAATTAAATAAAAAATTCTTTTCTACAACAAACATTTGCGCGATTTGCGCATGACAAGTGATTGATTGTAAAAATTAAACAAATTCTTCTTTAATAAAAATTCTTTTTTTTTCTACCAAATTTCAAAATTTATTTAATTTTCCGTTGATAATAATTTTAAATTTATATTTTCTCAAATTAATTTATTTTTGCAAAAATTAATTTATCTTAAGAAAAATTTTTCTTATTAAATTGCATCAGTTAATTTCATCATATTATTTTTATTTTTTGATTTTTAATTTTTATTTGCTGATTAATTGAAAACAATATCTTATGATTGTTAATTTTATGAATGAACAAAGACCGATTTTTCTATTTTATTTAACTCTTAGGAACTTTCAGAGCCCTTGGCCCTCCTAATACCTAAATTCATGTGTTTAATGAACTCCTCATCTACCATTATCTAGTTTAACACAGGGCCTATAATTTGTAAAAGTCTGATAAAGTTCCGAACGGTCATGTCTATATTTCCTCGTGTTTATCAACCGGCACCAAAATTTCTATATCTGTATAACTTTGAATTAAACTGATCTATTCATTTAATTTATCTGATTATTATTTCCATTTGTTCTTATCAATGTTGAATTTATATTTCCTTATCTCGTCTTCACATATTTTCTTTCTCTTTAAAATCAGGTGTTTATTAAAATTTAAAAATAATAGGAAATGTTTTGCAACAAATAAACATTTATTTAAAATTATTCTCTAAAAGATAAAGTTTATTATCACAATTTTTTATCATCCATTTGTCCATTCTCTATCATCTTCTCGAAATTCTCATTAAAATATTTTTAATAAATATTTTATGTTTCTTTTTTAATTATTTTTAAATCCCCTTTTTTATCCATTCGAATTAAAATATTTTTACAAAAATACTTAATTTATATTTTAATAACAGAAAAACAATTTCTGCACTAAACGTCCTTCATTTGTAATTTTGCACTAAACGTCCTCTAAATTGTTAATTTATTTTTTAAAAATTTTTTTTTAATTTTTTTATCTAGCTACAATCTTGTTGACAATTTTTTTATTTTTATTTTTTTAATTTTTAAATTACCACCCAAAAATTACCAAAAAAATATAAATAAATTAATTTTTCTATTTAATTTTGAGAGGACAAAGTTTGTTTCATCATTGTAATAATAACTGGCGTCAAAGACACGTATACCAAACTTCACCCCAAACATTCATTATTTACACCCACCCACTCCTTTTTTATTTTTCCCGATATTTTTTGATATTTTCTTTATTCATTTTTCCTCACTTTTGTTCAAAAAAATAAAAACAATTTAAACATGTGAACATTTAATCAAATAAATATATTTTTATTTATTTGTTTAGTTAAAGAAAATTTTGAAGTTTTTTTAAATTTTTAATATCAAAAAATATTCGCAACAAAAATATTTTTAATAAAATAAATATTTTTATTAATATAATAAAATTGTTGAGAAATATAAATTTTATTTTTATTTTTGCAAAAATTTAAAGAATATTTATTTAATTATTTTTCTTTTTTTAAAAGAGGGTGTGAAGGTTTTTTTAAATAATTGAATTTATTAATTACCGTTAGGCTCTGATTTTTGTAAAATTAGACAGATTATTTGTTATTTGTGAAGCTAATAAACTTGAAACTTGAAAAATAAGAATCTAGCATAAACCTAGTGAATAATAAGACATTAATATTTTTACAATCTTAAAATTTTCAACTTTACAAACTTGAAATTTATTATAACTTAAAGTTTCCAACCTTAAAATTACATTTAAAACTTAAGTGAATAAACTTTTTCAAACTTGAAAATAAACTTAAAAAATATGTTTAAATAAACTTGGAATATGTAAAACTTGTTGAGCTTAAACTTAAGTTTTTCAGACCTACCTTAAAGTTTCCAACTTTATAAACTTAAGTTTTCAAGTTTACCAACACAAAAATTTCCAACTTATTATTCATAAAACTTTGTTGTGATATTTTCCATTCTTTTCATTCTTTTATTATTATTTATTTTCACGTTTTATATTTATTTGTTAAATTAATCATAAGAATTATCATTTTATTTAAGACTTAAAAAAATACCTTACATCAGAAATATATTTTTTATTTTTTTTCAGATTTTTATAACGAATAAAATAAATTTTATTATTTATTTACGAAGGCGCTATTTAATTTAAAGTGTTTCTTCATTTTAAATATTTAAATACAACATTTAAATATTTTTGTTAAATAATATACAACAGAAAAATGTCTGGACATAGCGCAGAGGAAGCACAACTTGCTTCTTGCCAGGTTGTTAAAATAAATTAATGAAAGCAGTTTACTGTAGAGTTGAAAATTAAGTTTACTGAGCTTGAAGAAAGTTTTAAGTTTGCAAACTCAAAATCAAGTTGTGTTTAATAAACCTAAAACTTAGAACATATTTTAAAATAAACTTGAAAATAATGGAGTAATTAAAAATAAAATAAACTTGTAAACTTAAGTTTATGGTAAAAACTTGAAAATAAATTAAGGTTTATTTTAAGATAAACTTGAAAAAATAAGTTTTTAAAACTAGGTAACTTAGAAGTGAACATTTAGCAAACTTAAGCTCGATTTAATATTAAACTTGAAACATTTTAAGAGCAAACTTGAAACTTTTAAAGTTCAAATTAAATTGTTTCAGGCTTACGTGCGTCAACACAATATTCAACAACTAGTTAAAGATGCCATAGTTTCTTTATGCATCCATAAACCTGAAAATCCGGTGATTTTTTTGCGTGACCACTTTGATCAGTTGTCAACCGATCAACAAAACTTCTCACAGGTTTTTCTTAATTTTTCTTAAAAATAATTATTTGTTCAACTTTTAAAATATATATTTGCCTTTTTCTGAAATTTTTGACTAGTCATCCTTTTTATTTTTTAATATTAAAATAATATTTTTTGATCATAAGATTTTAAACTTTAAAAATATTTTTGTGGTAACATTATTTGTCGACATATTATAGTTAAAAAAACTAGGATTTGACTATCCATTTTCAAGAAATTGACTTTTTTTTAATTTTTTATTTCCAAGTGGTGTAAGAGGACGAGTTGAATTTAATTTTAATTTCAACCCACTGATTTAAAAATTAATAAAAAATTTATTATAATAATGCTTAACCTCGTTGGTCACAAATATTTACAAATCAGTTTTTTGTATTATTTTACAGCCCCAAGGATGTAATACTAACGAGTTCTTCCTAAAAATTTAAATTACTAAAAGTTACTCATCAAATCTAGACAAATGGGTAAAAATCGTAAACATTTTTGTTAGTAAATATTTTTCATTAAAGATTTATTTGAGAATTTTCTAGCTTTACCCTCTCTCTTTTTTCCTCTTATTGTCACCCAATGTTTAAAAAATATTATTTTTTTTTTGATATTTCTCGAACTCGACGACAAAGTCTATCTTTCTGTAAACATTTTTATTATTTTCTCAACTGGCTCTCCTTTTCCCGAAAAATCAATCATTTTGGCCCTTTTTAATGCTTTTTGGCTGAGCACTATAGTAGAATATATTTATTTTTATGTAAATACTTAAATATTATTATTCAGGCGATTTGTACCCATTTTGTTGTTTTCTTTTAAAAGTGATTTTTATTTTTTTTCTCATTTTTGAAATATTTAAAATTTTTTATATTTTACACACATATGATAATTGGAAAGGAATTTGAGAAAAATCTGAACAGAATCGAGAGAACAGGGAAGACACCAATATCTGGGACGGGGACACCAATATCCCAGGGTTGGATATTGGTTATCCTTATCCCTGACTTGTATCATTCTCGTTCAGCTTTAATTAAAATTTAACTTTAAACTTTCAAACTCAAAGAAAATTTTGGAAGGATAAAGTATGCGAGAAGAGGAATAGAACCTCGCTTTTGATACACTCTGAACAGTAAAATTGTATCATAAATCAACTGTATCCATTATTTATAATATCGCTTAGTTTACACTCTTTTGTTAAACTTTTAAATACAACTTATATAAAATGTACCCATCTATATTTACGTAAAATCGAGATCCGATTGAACAAAAATTTTGCAAAAATCTTGTGCTAGTTCTTCTCAGTCTCTTCCCAAAAATCCATTTTTAATTTTAATTTTTTCCTTCAAACTATTTTAATTTGTCCTATTCTACTCTTTTTTCTTCAACACATTCTTTTCGCTTTTTTAAAATTAATTTAATACTTCCCACACTTGTCTGACTCTAAAAGTACATTAAAAGTTTAGCACGCTTATCCAGGATTTTCTTTTTTTTATTATTTTATGCATCAAAATCGACCCATTTACAACTGAAAACAAGGAAAAGAAAATGGATTTTATAAAAATTAAAAATAAACGAAGTTGAGGAATTTAGGCGAAATACTATAGAAAATGAAGAGAGACGCCAGACACGTTAGAGAAAAGATTTTTATAATACCTCACTTTTGTGGATGGATGTGTGCCTATTTGATTAAATATTTTTACATGTTCACGCTACATTCGAGAACAACATTTGCACATTTCCCGGCTGTCACCAATACTCCTGACAGTCTTCTTTACTTTTCTCCACACACTTGTTGTCTCATTCTCTCTTTTTTATTTGGCTGTGCTTCTCCTTCCGCTTTTCTTTTTTTCCTCACTTTATAGTTCATTCTTCTCTTTTTTACTAAACTTTATACAACATTCCTCAATAGCCAAAAATTCTTTTTTTTTTCCTTTTTTTTAAAGCCAACTCATTCTCCATATCTAAAACATATTCTCTCATTTCTTCACCAATATCCCTCACAGTCTCTTCCCTTCTCTCTTCTCTTTTTATACATTTTTTCTATCTTCCTTCTTTATATTCTTCCCTTGGTCGAGAGCCTATTTTCCCCATTCCTCCTTTCTTTGGCCACTGACACAAAAACCATCGGCTGTCGAACTTTTATAGCTCATTCCACCATCCTAGCACCAACCCTCTATACTTCCCTCAGTTTTTTCATTTCCCTCATCTCTCATTTTTATATAGAGCTCTTTTATCATTTAACACGGAAAGGGACGCTCCAGAGCGATACTTTGCGACATTGCGATTATTTTTGGATTGTTCTACTTTGAAAGGAATTCCTTTGGGAATTTCTCTTATAAATTTCTCTAAAAAAATTTTTTTCTTTAATTAATAAAATCACTGTACCATTCAATTTATTTTATGGAACACAGATGGGGAAAGTTGCCAAAAAAATAAATTTACAAATTTAAATAAAAAAATTCATTTTCTCTTTTATTTTTTATTTAAAAATTCGCGCCAAAATAACCCTCCCTCCTAGAGATGTCCAAGACTCTTGGTCTTGATCTTGATTCCAAGACTTTTCTTGAGTTTTTTTCGGTCTTGGTCTTCGTTTGGGGTCTAATCTTGGTCTTGAGTCTTGGAAAATTTTCGGTCTTGGACATCTCTACTCCTTCCCCCCCCCCCCTCTCCCTCTCTTCTCAACTAAACATTCATTCCTGAAAAATACACAGAGCTTTTCATTCTCCATGAGAGGAAGGAAAAGAAGGAAAAAAATATTTTTTTATTTTTTTATTCTTCTCGGCCATAGCTTTTTCTTTAACTCCCGAGACAACATCCTCCTCTCCTTTCTTCGCTTTGCAATTAGGCAAAAAATATTGAGAAAAGAGCAGCTAGTTGGACAAATGAGGAGAAAGAAAAAAATGTTGTTAAATTTACCAATAATTATTCTCTTGACCTCTTTTTTTGGATGCTTTTTTATATTTTCTTTTGCAAATGACATGTAGATAAAGAATGGGGAGTTTTGTGTTAATTAATTTAAATTAATTGAATATACAAAGATAAGAGAAAATTAATAAACTTTTTTTATATTTGATGGGGATATAAAAAATCTTTATCCCTCATAAAAAATCATCCCAGTAAATTAATTCCAAAAAACCTCGTACTTCTGCTAATCCCAATGACTGCCCAAAAATCAGGACGATTTTATGATGCATCTTAGAAAATTCCATTCTTGTCCTTTCCAATTCCAAGTGTTTATATGGAATGAAAAAAGAGTTAATTAATTTTAATTAAAGAGAGATTTAAATTCCTCCTTTTACATAAAAATTCTACAAAGTCTATACTTTCTTGGGAATTCTCAAATGAAGAGAATTTCTTGTTTCAAATTAATTTGAAATACTAAATTTATCATTTTAATTGAGATTGAAAATAGAATTCTCAACAATTTTTTAATGATAGATTTTGTTACATTTTTAATTGTTAAATGGATATAGGTATTCTTTTTTAGTCCCTCATGGGGCTTAATCTATTATATAAATTCTCTCTATTTTTAACAAAAAACATTTCCTCATCAATCCATCAACCAATTTATATACTCAATAAATATATTGTCCTCCGAATTTTCTTTTTAACTTTTTTTTTCATTTTTTTTTATTTTTTAAATATTTATTGGACCAACAGGTTTACTCATATATTTTTTACCTCTTTCTGGGGTAAAACTCTAAATTTAATTTTCCGGACCAGCATTTCCTAGTCTATAAATCCTTTATTTTTTTTTCATAATATCCCACTTACTGTTTTCCTCTAATTGAGCGGCTGCTCCATTTGAACGGCAGTCCCCAATAAAGCGGCCCCTTGAGAAGGGATCGGAAAATATAGCGGCAGCATCCATTTGAACGGCAGTCCTCATTAGAGCGGCACTTTGACAGGGGTTGAAAACCTAAACCCCCGACCTAAAATATTTTTTAAAATATTTTTTTGGCTTTTCTCATCAATTTATTTTTAGATTATTTAAAATATATTTAAATTTAAAATAATTAAATATTTTCGTCGGTGCTAAAAATATTTTATAAAAACAATACTTCTAAATCATAATAATTTATATGTTCCATTTGTTTAAAAATCCGTTAAAACATTAACAAATAACAACATTAGCTAAACTTGAAACAAACAAGTTTTATTAAAGTTTATTTACTAAAAATTGAAACAACTTGATAAATCAAGTTTACAAACTTGAAAAACTTATAAATAAAGTTTTAAGAAGAAAGTTTTACAAATTGTAAAAAGTTGGTTAAATATAAATGCAACTTTTTTGTCTTCAATAAATAACAACAAAAATTAGCAAACACTAAGTTTATTATTTTCCTCTAAATTAACACTTTAACTGCCAAGTTTATTTATTTTTATTTTGTTGCTTCAAAAATTTCTAAATTAATTTTTGCTTCAATGGGGCAAACACTTCGACGTTTAACTCGCCGTAATCAAAACCAGTCAATAACCTCCACAGCCTCAACCACCACAGCTCCAGAAGTAAATCAAAAAAAGAAAAATGAAGAGGAGGGGGGTGTTGCTTCTGAAACAAAAACAGTCGAGAAACAATGTCCATCTTCTATACCTACAACCTCTAAAGAAGTAAAACAAGAAGAATCAACGTCAAAATTGCCGGGAAGGAGTGTAATGATTTTTGAAAATTAAAAAAAATTTCCTTAATATTTGATAAGCTACTACGAGCTTTGTTAGAATCTCGTAGTAGCGAATGCATTAAGTGCTGAAAAATCATATAAATATCCACTAAAGCGGAAGTACCACCTAGGCATCTCCTACTAACCGACCAGCTTAATTGAATTAGAGTTTTTTTCAAAATTTTAATTCTCCTTAAAATTTGTTAGAATTTCTTGAAAAACTCTTTCATTTCTCAACTTTTAGTCTCTTAAAAATTATTTTAGTATTTTTTAATTTTTACTCGAAAAAATATTTTAAATAATTTCCCATAGGTTTTCCATTTATAAAATTCAAAAGTTGTTTAAATAAATAATAAAATTTAGAAATAAAAAAAGTTGGGAATTAAGGTTGTCAAGAGCTTTTACGTATAGTATTTAATAAATTCATTTAATTTTTCTAAAAGCTTAAAAAATCAATTCAATGGATTAATTTTTTATTTCATAATTTTTAATAATTTATTTAACTAATTTTTTTATAAATTATTTTTCTTAAATATTTTTATATTTAAAATTTAAAAGAAATTAAAATTTTCTTATAAAAATTTTTTGACTATTTTTTGACCTCATCCCCTAAATTTTATTTTCAGTTGTTTTTGTAATTCTTGAAAAATTTCAATAATTTTTTAAAAATATTTTTTTGATTTTCGATTTTAATTTTTCCATTTTATTTTTAATTTTGTATTCATTTTTTTTGTTTCAATCAAGAAAGCTTATTGAGTAAAAATAATGACTAAAATAAGAAAAAATAAAATCAATTATGTATTTAATCATTAAATTAAAAATTACAAAAGTCATTCTCTCATTTTTATAGGAAACAGTCCATTCAGTTCCTGACGAAGACGACACCCTGGAAGAACCTCCACGTCTCCCACAAGGCAATCGCCGCCGATTGGGCGTTTCTGCCGAAGTTCCAGATGAAAACGAAGCCGCGAATTACCAACGAGTAGTTATTCCTAAAGATGATGACACGCAAAAAGCTTTGAGACAAGCAATGTGCCGAAATGTTTTGTTTGCACATTTGGATGTTGATGAACAGAAAGGTTATTTAATAAAATTTTTTTGAAAATTACCTTGTCAGGGTTGTATAATAATTCATTCAATAGACGGAAGATTTGGTAAATAGAACCTTTATAGAAAATTATTTATTGTTGATTTTTTTCTAAATTTTCGTTAATTTTAATCTCCACAGACGATTCACAGTTATCCAGTAATTTCATGACACTGAATTAAAAACCACGAAAATTTCCACAAATTTAACTCAATTCTGTTTGTAATCCTGTCTGTGTTAAATGAAAAATAAATATAATTTACCATATTAAGTAAAAGCAATATAAATAAGAAATACATACTAAGCACGTTAATGTAATTTTGCATATTAAGTAATTTTTATAGAAAGAATGAACAAATGATTTTTACTCTTATTTTGTTACCTTCTGTATCCGAAAGTTAGGAAAATTTAAAATAATCTTTTAAGCTATTTCACATTTCCTTATAAAAAATTTAAAAATATTTTTATCTTTTTCAGCAATTTTCGATGCAATGTTTCCAGTAGAGAAGAAAAAGGGAGAAATTATTATTGAACAAGTAAAAATAAAGTTCAGAATTTATTTCAAAATTAAAAAATAAATTTAAGGGAGAAGAAGGAGATAATTTTTATGTAATCGAAAGTGGAGAAGTTGATTGTTTCGTTAATGGAGAATTTGTTCTCTCAGTTAAGGAAGGGGGTTCTTTTGGTGAACTTGCCTTAATTTATGGAACTCCACGTGCTGCTACTGTTGTAGCTAAGGTTTCTTAAAATTTTTGTATACACCTTCTTTTGAGTGGGATGCCAAGACTTTCCGAGACAGATAAATACACGAGAGATAGAAATCAAAATTAAATTTTGAATTGATAGGGGAAGGAGAAAGAGAACCTCATTTACGCATAAATTCGTATTTTCTTCTTTTAAAGACCCCAACAGTCAAACTTTGGGCTATTGACCGACTCACCTATAGAGCTATTTTAATGGGATCTACAATGCGCAAAAGAAAAATGTATGATGAATTTTTGTCGAAAGTTTCAATTCTTGCCGATCTTGACAAGTGGGAACGTGCAAATGTTGCTGATGCTTTGGAACAATGCCAATTTGAACCTGGAACTAGAATTGTTGAACAAGGTGTGTTTTTAATGAATGAATATTTATTTTAAAATTTTTTGTTGCCAAGTGATAGATTATAGTATAGTGAACTGGGGCTTAGACTTCGATTAAAATATAAGAAAAAAATGTTTAATATATAAAATTATGTTTTTATTTAATTTAAACATTTTGTTTTGATCAAATGTTAGGATTTTTGATGTGTAAGAAGATGATAATTTTTGGGCCGGGAGTTCTGCAGGACTCCCTTAATTATTCCAAATAAAATTTAGTGATGCAAGAAGCTAAAAAAATATTTTAAAATTTTACGTCGGTTATAGTGCCTACTGGCCATAGGCCTGAATTGGATTGTCAAAATATCCGTTTGTTAAACAATAGCCCCTTATCTTTGTATTTGATGCCTTAACAAAGGGTCATTCACCGAACGTGTATTTTCATTTCATTTTTGACCATGGACCGTTCGTTTGGACTGTCAAAGCTTAATTTCTTGATATAAATTTTATATGTATATCAATTAGTGTTAGTCATTTACGATTTTTCGAGATCGAGATCGAGATTATCGAAAAATCTCGATATCGAAAAAATCTCGATTTTTTCAAAAATTGATCGAGACGAGATCGAGATCGATAATCTCGAAAAAAATCTCGCGATATCTCAAAAATATCGTCGATATATCGTCTCGTGACTAACACTAATATCATTTTAATTAAAGGCCAACCCGGAGATGAATTCTTTATAATTGTTGAGGGAGAAGCCGAGGTGCTACAACGGCCAAATGATGATGCCCCATACGAAGTTGTTGGCAAATTGGGGCCTTCTGATTATTTTGGTAAAGGATTGGGGAAAATAAAAATTTTTTATAAAAATTATTTAAAGGCGAAATTGCTCTTTTATTGGATCATCCACGTGCAGCAACCGTTGTGGCTAAAGGGCCCCTTAAATGTGTAAAGTTGGATAGAGCTCGATTCGGTTAGAGTTTTATATTTTTGTGAAATGTTTTTGTGAATTTTATCATAATATTTTAATTCTCAAACATTACTTCTTTATTCAAAAATATTTTTTATCTCGAGATTATTTATTAGCCTCATTTTCAACTGAAATTGCATTTTTTGTGGTCCCTCCTAGCTTTGTTCGGTTTTAGGCATTGCCCCGGTATTACCGAAAATACCGACCGGATATCGAAAATATCCATTTGCTCAGAGACGGTAGTCCCTTTGAAATACACGATAACCCTTCAGACAATTTTTTTAAACGGACAGCGCTACTTTTTATTCTTCTTTTACCATCCCTTTAGTATTTTTAAAAGATTTTTTTGAAGATTTGAAAATATACAAGTTTCGATTTATTCTAATAAAAATCTAAAAAAATTAAATTATTTAAACTTTAAAATATTTTTAAGAGCGTGTTATGGGCCCGGTGCGTGAAATTCTCAAACGTGATGTTAGCCATTACAATTCATATGTGAAGGTGATTTTTAATTCTTTTTAAATTACAAAAATTTTTTTTAAGTTGATGACCTAAAAAAATTCAAAAAAATCTGAAGGAAGAAAAAACCCAAAAAATGCTAAAATATTCTTGCTGTGGCAATTTTGAATGAATTTATATATAAATATTTTTTTATTATTTTTTAAATTAAGAAAATAGCTTGAATTTTAATAATTATATATCAAAAAATTTTAATATTTTTCACGTTGTTTGTGAGCTAATTTTGTGTGTAAAATGATTAAATTTCTAATTTTCTTTCTAAAAATATTTTTATATATAGCTAGGATAGTACGTACAAATAGTAGACTTTTTGGTTAAAAAAATTAAATTAAACATTAAAACTTCTAAAATTTTCGCCTCCGACGCAAAAAATGGAAGACGGCGGATATCCGTAGGCATTATGATATTATCCGTTCCCATATACGTATCCATGGGCAGGTCTGATGTATATGTAGTATATTAGGGATGAGCCCTGCCAAAAAACTGGATCCCATCCCTGTACATACATATCTCTCCAAATTCAGTTATTTTTTCGATGCTTTTTGGCAATTCAAAATTTTAGATGTTCCACAAGTTCTCGAAGGAAAGAAAATATTGGTTTATGAGTATTAAAAATATAAATTTGATCTTACTTTTTTAGAAAAAAAACTTTAGATTCCATAATATTTAGTCAATACATAATATTCAAGGTACAAAAAGGTAGAAAATTCTTAAATAAAATTAATTTTATTTTTCATTAATTGCAAAGTCATGAGCTTCGCTAATGTAAATTATATTTTTCAATACAATAAACAAAAAAATCAAAAAAAATTTGGCCAAACAAAAATTTTTTTTACTTAAACTTTCCATTTAAATTCAAAAATAGAAAATAAACCCTCCAAACTTTACATTTACCTTAAAAATCCCCATTTATTTAAATATTAAATGTTGGGGAAAACATGAAATTGGTGAAAATTGTTGGGTGAGAATGATAGATCAAGGTACAAAAAGGTAGAAAAATGTAGAATAAAACGGAGTTAAATGAATATAAATACAGTTACGTTGACCAAAACAATACATTATTTTAATTAAATATTCTTTTAATTCTTAATATTTATTTTAATTTAAAAATATTTTTAAAATTATTCATTTAATTAATAAAAAAATTTTTCCTTGATTACGAAAAAATTTAGAAATCCTTTTACATTTTCTTAGCATTTTCTACGGTTATCGAGTTCGATTCATTCACGAAGATAAAGTATTGAAAAATATTTATTAATCATGAGGAATTATTCCAAATTTATTATGTCTTATCTCACTTTGAGGTATACATCTTTCTGGGTTGAAAAAGTCGGACCTTATAATTAGAGTTGCCAGCCCGCTCGAAACGAAACTCGAAAGATCGAGCGAGCCGAGGCTTTTCAGCTCGAAAAGCTCGAAAACGAACCGAATCGAAAAATACTAACTCGAAAAATGCATCGAACGTTGGCTCGAACGAAAACGGCAACCCTACTTATAATAAAGTTTATCTTGATGAATGAATCGCCTCATTAAATCGTTCAGAAACGGGGGATGACTAACTAATAGTAGTAGTAGAGCTTTTCTAATTAAAAAAAAGATTTTTACCAAATAAAAAATTATTTGATATAAACCTAAATATTTTAAGAATTTTTGAAAAAGAACTAAGAAAAATGTTTGCTTCTTCAACCAAAATTTGTTTATTTTTTCTTTCAATTTTTATATTATTCCAATTAAACATTGGACAATGTTGGTACTGTTGGATTTGGTGGTGCCTGTAAAGGAACAGGACAGGGCAATTGTTGTGCTGGACTTTGTCAACATGGAAAATGTTGTCTTCCAAAAGATCAAGCATGCAATGTTAAAGATATAACAAGAAAATGCTGTGATGGTACAAGTTGTAAACCAGTATTTAAAGCAGGCTACGCCTGTCAAGTTTAAAAAAAGCTGATTATGATGATTAATAGATGATGATAAAAAACGTTTTCCTTCTTTTTCTTAATTTGCCTGTCACATTCTTTATTCTTTTCTAACTTTTTTTCATTATAATAATTCCTTTCTACTTTCACAATTAAACAAGTATGTTGAATAAAACAAGGGATATTTAAATAGTTAATAGGGGTGTGCCAGTTTCGCTTTTCGCGTTTCGCATTTCGCGGATTTTCGCGTTTTTTAAAACCCCTGATAGATAATTATAACGTTAAAGGATAAAAAATTGAAAAAAACTTTTAATAAACTAAATAAGCTAGCTTCGAAAAATTAACGCAAAACGCAGAAAAGCAAAATACAAGACGCAATAAATAGAGTTAGTTCTTGGATTAAATTTAAAAATAAATAAATTTCTTTAATTTTGCTGGAAGCTTCTGATTGAGTGCCGCTTAAATTTAATTTAGAAATAAAGCAAATAAATAAAGAATTTTAAACGTAATAAATAAATGTGTGTATTAGGGTTGCAGCCCGAAACCCGAAACTCGAAACCCGGTCTTTTTTTGTACCCGAAACCCGTACCCGAAGATTTTTTGTACCCGCGGCAACCCTGGTGTGTATTAAAGATGAAGTAGGGTCAAACATAAAAAATAATAAATTCTAAAGGATAATTATGATCACATTTTAATCTTGCTTCCATTGTCAATTAGAATTCCCAATTAGAGTGAAGTAGATTGGGGTGATAAAAGCCCTCTATTCGAGGATATATAAAAGCCCTCTATCCAGTAAATCCATTCATTCATCAGCAAATCCAATTGTTACAACGTTCTTTTCTTCTGAATAACCGACAACATCAATTTGGCTCGGATACTTATTAGCTGCTATAATCTCACTTCAACAACTCTTGGAATGGCTTTTGTTTCCTCCATCTTTCGGTGCATTGTTCTTCTTCTTATGCTGCTTGGTTTTGGTGTTCATTGTGATGAAGTCGGACTCGGCAAGCATGTGTTGGATGACGGGAAAATTGTTGAGCTCAAGGACCTTACGAAGATTGCCAAAGACGACACGGATCTTGAACGATACAGGAAGCTGCCGGGAGCGTGTGATGTTACCATGGACGATGGAAATATGTAAATATTTTTACATTAATTTATTTAAATCCCCTCATTTAACAGCATTCTTTCGTACACCAAAAACTCCAAAACGACTGAGTCTGGCTGCTCTGTAGATTTGGTCACAAAGAATAAAGGTCAAGTCTTATTGGAATTTGTTATCTCGAATCCTGTCAGTCTGACCGAATGTATCATGAAAGGAGATGATCGAATTGAGAATTTGTATAAACAAATTCTTATTTGAAAAATTTATATTTTATTTAGGATATTGTTTTCCTTCAGCATGAAGCGAGATGAATTCGAAAAGCTCAAAGAGGGTCCTAGCTTGGGTGATAACAGCGATTGTAGCGATGAGAAGGCTTGCGAAGGTCGTTGCTGGAACTCAACAGCCTTCTACTTTGTTAGATGGGCGGTAGATAAAAAGGATGAATATTATGCCGCTCTCCATCCAGGTCACCCAAATAAAAAATTTTTTTGTATTCTTATTATTTAGTTCTTGATACGCGTGGTGACGGTAGGAACATAAAATTCGATGGGATGAATAAAGCGTCGTCTAAGATTATGTTTCGACAGAACCAATTTCGGTTTCTAGGAGCAAAAAGTGAATCATTTCTTACTTTTTCCCCCAATTGCTACAAGATGGAAAAACTTGGAAAGGTTGAAGAATGGAAGATTGAAGACGAAAATTACAAAGGCGACCAAAACTTCAATCATCTCTTTACTTTCAACATTATGCCGCCAAAACCGATTCAAGCCCTTTTGTGTAAGAACAATCTAACAAAACCAGGCTGTGAAAAGGATTCACATATGCAAAAATGTGACAAAATATCCATCATATTTGTAAGCAAATTGTTGCCTTTTAATTACCAAAAAATATTTTTTAGGACAAAGAATACTTTCGAATGCTCGTTCCTGACGCTTCTTTTGGGCAAACTGTAAGTTCAAAACAGGTGCGTCATGGCGTTTTGGTGTTAATTTTGGCCGATTTTTGGCGTTTTGTGTTTAGCGTGTTTTTAAAATTTGAAAAATTGGCGTTTGGCGCCAATTTTGGCGCACAGCTCCGATTTAAAATTATCTACTTTTGAACTAAAAAAATTAAAATAATTTCAGACTACAACGACTACGGAGGAAGAAGAGACGTCAGATTATGATGAGACCACAGAAGTTACGAGTAATTCAAAAACTACTGTCGCCGCTTCAGGACTGGGAACGATCGCTATTGTTTTAATCACTTTTGGCATTCTGTTATGGTAAGTTATCAATGGGAGAGGGGATTAAAGTTGAATATCTCCTTTTCAGTGTTACAATAGTCATCGGCATTTTACTGTGGTTCTTTGTGTGCCGTGGCAAGAATAAAAAGGAAAACGAGCCAAATGAAGAAGAATATCCACCTCCTCCAACCACTACAACAACAACAACTAAAGAAAACTCGACTATTGAAGGGAAGAAAGATTCTTCTACCGTTGTTGGAACTCAATACGATGAGGACTTGAATGAAGTAGGCACTGTTATGGGTACTCAAATTGGACCAGGCGACGTTTCTAAGTTGGACGTTGATGGCTTTAGTGCAAAAGCTGGCAAAGTTCCGGATACTTTGCGAAGTACAAATACTGTTAAGGATGATCCAAATGTTGTCAATTCAAGAACTGGCGTTGCAGTTCCTGAAAGTATCTATGGATAGTAATAAAGATGTTAAAGAAGAATGCCTATAAAAATATATATAGATAATATTGTTTTTTTTGATAAATATGTATGTAAAATATTAAATTGTATTTCATTATATAAATTAATTTGTGAAGTTTGTTTTAGTCTTTTTTCCACAAAGTTTAAATTCGTTACATATTATATCGCTCTCAAACATTTATAATTTTGGTCATACTATTTAACATCGTACATTTTTTCCTTGAATCTTTTAATATTTTTCCTGTGCGTGGAAATGTCGTTTGCTGCGATGGCCTCATAGGTTAAAATTTTTGAATTCTCAGATGGTCAAGTGGCCAGATTTTTGATACTAATGGAAAGAATATTTTTAAATTACTTTTGATAAAAAATTAACGGCAAATACATACATATAATTTAAAAATTAAAAACTAGATTCACAGATGAATCATTTGACTCAAGGAAAATCGAAAGAAGTTTACATGCTATTTTGAAAGCTACTAAATATATCAAAAATTCTATATCCCTATTAATCCCACAGTCTCTTGATAACTCTCTTAATCCATTTGAATCACTTTTTATTTTGTTATATCTATATATTGGATTGAGTCCCGGGTTCGACATTGCGTCCCGGGTTCCGGGTTCGACAATTCTGGTCGAAGTTATAGCTCTGCGGTAGGTTAGGCTCTCATTAAGTAGGCTTGCTCCTCCAAAAAACATTAGTTAGCAGCTTTTTTAGAAAACCCTTAGATTTCACTATAGTAAATAAATTCATTAAAAAATTAAATTTTAATTTTCATGAGTTTTCAAAATTAAATTTTGTTTTTAATTTAAATAAACGAAATTAAATTTAAATTTTAGCTAAAATTGCCTTTAAAAAATACAAAAATAGAAAATAAAATTTTTTAAAATTTTTTTCCCTTTCAAACCCTCAACATCTCGATTAAAATACCCAGTTGTTTAAACATTATAGATAAATTAAATTTTGCTTCTGATGTTTATACTATTTTGGAATTCTTAAATTAAAAAGGACAGATTAGACAATATAAATACTGTTGAGTTGGGTAATAAATCATTTTAATTTTTCAAATAATTAAATTATCCTTTAAAATTATTAGAATATTTTTATAAAAATATTTTTACAAGTATTCATTTAATTAAAAAAAATTTCTTTTAAATAAATAAAAAATTCTGTTAAATAAATCTATTAGGTTCGGATCCCGAAGCAAATCCCGATTTTATAAATTGCTAGAAGATTTGTAATGACTGTGAAAATATGTAGGTAACGAAAGAGGGGAGGCATGAGAGGATGGGAAAAGCTACATAAATTTAGCTATACAGAAAAAATCATACGAAATATGTATACGAAGCAAAGAAACAAGACGTAACGTTTCGTGTATGTATGGCCGGGATCCGGGAGGAGTGGTATCACCATTCCAAAATCACGATCCTGATTTCTCGACTAATAAATGGTTACCGTATATGCTAAAATAATGTCCCTCCCTCAAATAGTTACCCCCGCCTTATTAATTACCCCCCTTCAGCCAGAGGTCGAAAAAATAATTACCCCTTAGAATAGTTATAATTAGCCTTTCTAAAAAAGCTTAAATAATTACCCCTTCCCTATTAATTACCCCCTCCAGCAATAGGTTGACACAATAATTAACTCAAACAAATGCTCTAAAACACGTTCAAATTTCAAACCTCGTATAATTACCCTCTTCTATTAATTACTCCCTCCAGCGGAAGGTCGAAACAATAATTACCCAGAGTAGTTATTAAAGGATATACGGTAGTTACATTAAGCTCCAAAAATATGTTTTTAACACCGTATTAAATCGTTCGGAAAGGGAATGATATAATAATAGTAGAGCTTTTTTAATTTAAAGACTTAAGATTTTAGTTAAAACAGTTTACAAAATATATTTTTTTCCAAATAAGAAATTATTTAATATTAAGCTTTATTGAATATTTCAAGAATTTAGATAAAAATGTTCACTTCATCAACCAAAATTTGCTTGTTTTTCCTTTCAATTTTTATATTATTCCAATTAAACAATGGTGATTGTGTTGTATATGGCGGTAGTTGTACAGGAAGAGGACAACTGGGAGATTGTTGTGCTGGGATTTGTTCGGCTACTCATGACAAATGTTGCCTTGCAAAAGATAGTGTTTGTAGCGACGTTAACGATAATAGATGCTGTCCAGAGACAAGTTGTCAACCAGTACAAGAACCATTTAAATCATACAAATGTGTGTAGAGTGGGAACGCTGGTTGAAGTATGGAATGTTCTGGAATATAAAAAAAGAAAAACTTTTCCTTTTCTAATTTGGCAGTTAAATTCTTTATTTTTTAAATTTTTTTCTAAGTAATACTTTAATTATAATTTAACAATTTTGATAACAAGGGATCTACGTATAATGAATAGAGGGCGGATTTTTATGCAAATGCATATTTTTTTGGCAAACTTGGCATGATGTATAATGCACAAAAAACACACTTTCCGCTTGTTTTGAAAACATTAGAGGGGGTTTCTATTTGCATATAATGCATATTTTTGCATATTTCGGACTTTGTTGCATAATGCATATTTTGATGCATATTTTGGGGTTTTTTGGTAAAATATCTCTAAAATTGCCCAAAATCCTGCCAAAATGTTGTAAATTTTGCAAAAATTTAGGAAAAATTTTGTAAAAATTACAAATTTTGAAAAAAATTTTTTTGAGTGCCCAAAATCGCACTCGCCATAATGTCTCGACCCCAAAACGCCCCACACCAAAATGTCCCACCACCAAAACGCCTCATCTCAAAATGTCCAACTGAGTAAAAATACTCAATTTGTCGGACAATAATTTAAAAATGGGAAAAATCTTAATAAAAATGGATGTTTAAATGTTCAGACTTAGATAAATCTTAAATTTCTAGGTGTAAATTTCATTTTTCTTGCATAATTTCGCGAATATTTTGGGTTTATTGCATATTTTCATGCATATTTTCCGATTTTTTTATGCATATTATAGTGCATATTTTGCATTTTTTAATGCATAAAAATCCGCCCTCTAATAATGAATAATAAATTTAAATAATTAACCTTAAAGCTGATTTAAAGTCTTATTATTTCAGTCGGCCTGGCAACTGGGCGCGTTGTAATTTAGGTTCGAATCCCACAGGATAATCCCAGTAAATCTCCCGATATTCTTCTATCCCTTCAGATCAACTGATCTTTCCCTTAACTACTCTTTATCCTTATTCTTTTTCCTGCTCGCGGGAGAACATTTTGAGAATTTTGACAAGTCAAAGAGTTGCGTTGGAAGCTGCGTTGATGTCTTATTTTTTCAGTTGGCCTGGTTTCTTGCTTATGATTCTCGGGTATTCCGATCCCGACCATGGGTGAGCGCAAGAGAAAATTTCAAAAAAACAAAAGATTTTTAAATTACAACTCTAAAAAATTTCTCAAATTACGAATCTATGTATATTAATTTAAAATTTAATCAAGCCATTGGATATTTTATTTGGCTCTAGTTTAGGACATGTGCCCCTTGAGCCTTTATGCGTCCCACGAAATTACTAATATGCGTCACAAAAAAATTATAGGCGTCCAATTATATATACAAATATTTCCCTTCCCTTCATAATTCTTGACAAAATTTAAAAATATTCTCATTCGGCATTTTTTGTAAAATTAGGTTTTTGAAATTTATAAAAATTATATTTAATTTTCTAAAATATTCTCTCAAAATTAAAAAAATATATAAATTTAGCAATTTAAATGATTTATTTAATTGCTTTAACTTTTCTTTTGTTATTTTCTAAATGTTTTGGAAGTGGAAATGATGATGATGATTTTAATCGTCATATTAGAGATTTTCACGATCAACCAATTTATAGCCCAAATAATAGTCCAGAATGGTTTAATCCTCCGGTTTGTTATTTAAAATTATAGATCGAGATATGTATTAATTGACTTAACTCTTATTTTCGGTTAACCCGCGAATTCTATATTTAATTTTATAAAAATATTTTTAAATCATTAATTATAGTAAACAATTATCATAACTATGGATATGGTAAATAAATTATTAAAAATTCTAAAAAATTTTATTACAATCATTGAATAATTTAAAATTTAATTTAAATATTCAGATAATTTTAATCTTTGGGAACATAACCAACAAATCCCCGATCAACACCCTCCTCAAGAAATGTACAACGAAGATTATCAAACCCAAACTTCGTCTCATCACCAACCCCCACCCCATCCTTATACACAATTTCCAACACCAAGTCAAGGCGAATCTTCTTCAATGCCTAATTTACAAAACAATACAAATGAAATAGAAAACGAGAATCAAAAATACCTTTTGGTAACACAAGAAATGATTAATCAAAGAGAGGAAGGTCAGTTTAAAATTGGGTTCGTGCATTAATTTGGGTTTTTAATAATATTAAAATTTATATTTCATATTAACATCTTCGATTTACATAAAAATCACCTCTTTAGAGAAAGAAAGATATAAAGCTATAGAATACAAGCATCCGGAATTAAGAAATATGGAGAAATTAAACATTCAATTAGCTTCAGAAGTTCAATTAGATAAAAGTAAAATTGATCCAGGATTTTCATTAAATTCTGAAATGATTACAGGTAGTTTTAAGTCGGTAATTTACAAATTTAAAATACAAACCAATTTTCAAAATTAGGCACTCAAAGTTGAAATTTATTTATAAATTATTTTTAAATATTTATTTAAATATTTAAATACTAAAAACAGGTGATCACATATATTTTATCAAAACTCGCATTTACAAATGTTTCAAATATATGTGTGATAAATCAGGACCAAATACTTTTTATTGGCAATGTAATAAAAAATGGAAAGGATGCAGGGGAAGGGTTACCTATAAGACGTTTAAAAATCCGCATGATTTAACAAATAATTTTAAAGAAACTCAGCCACATACATGCAAAACAAATGGTTTGATAAATATTTTTGTTTATTAATTTTCAAAATAAATTCAAT